TAACAGTTAGAATCTAGAGAGCTCTGATTAGTTACATGCTTCATTAGCTCCTTCCTCCCCTGATAATTAGGATTCTTGTGATTAGTTTCTTGCTTTGTTGACTTCCCTTCTTTCACATTTTACTATTATTTTTCATGAATTCTTAATGCGAGCAAGAAAGTCCTTTGAAACCCAAGTAACTACAAAGTTCTTTGAGGGGAAAATCCATTATAAAAGAGAAACTTCTTCTCTCATCAATATGTTTCATTCATTAGTTTAATAGAGGGAATACGGAATGAATATGAGGAAAACCTTAGCAGGCAACCTGTAGAGAAATTCTGACTGTGTCATGAGTTATTATTTCTGAACTTGATCTTTAGAATAGATGTCATTACTTTGCTAGAAGTTAATGTCTAAAATATGAGACATACTCATGTTCAACTTTAAATAACAAATCACATTTTGGAAGCATGAATATTTACACTCATCTATCACAAAGCAGCTATAGCTCTCTCTTTATATAGTCTTTGACTTTCTAAACATATTGGCTTGTATTTGGAACTCTGATCATAACTCAAAAATACTGTGGTATCACAAGTCAGAGACACAGGTTGCCAATTGAATAAATTATTTTGCTTTAAGTTGAGTATTTATCAATTTATGTAACTTTCTACATATTGCTAGAAATAGCATAGAGTAAAATTATTCTTGGAAAGAAGTTAAATTCCCATTTAAAAAATATAGCATTGAGCAGGGCACCAGTAACTCACAACTGTAATCCTAGATACTTAGAAGCTGAGATTGGGAGGATTGTAGTTTAAGCCCAATGCAGGCAAAAAGTTAGTAAGATCCCATCCCAACCAATAAAAGTTGGGTGAAGTGGCCCGCTATTGTCATTCTAGTGATAATGGGAAGTATAAAAGAGAAGGATCACAGTCCAGGCTGCCCTGGGCAAAAAGTGAGTTCCTACATCCAAAACAACCAGAGTAAAAAGGGCTGGAGGTGTGACTCATCCTATGAAATGTCTGCCTAACAAGAGCAAACACTGAATTCAAACCCCAGTAATGAAGAAAAAAAAAACAGTTGTTTGATATAACATTTGCCTACTGTAGCTTAAAATGAAAGAGATAGTGAATACAAACTGCAGCAAGATAGAATCTTACACTCAAAGCATTTTTTAGAAAGGGTCTCAGTAGAAAATGTTGTTAAATGTTGGAAGGAATTTCCCAGTGAGGTTGTAAAATTTCCCTTGAAAAAGCCATACTTGGTGGAAGCAATGGTGAGGTTTTGTATGAATAAAGAAATGACAAGCTAGATAATTCCCCAAGGTTCTACATATATTCAAAAGACAGTGTTCTGATTGAACTAGTGAATGTGTCCTTGGAAATATTTAAAAAGTATTAGAGAAAGAACAAAAGATTAAAAACTAGTTTCAATATTACTAAATTTTATTGAGTAAGTGATCATTGAATGATATATAGAAGTATAAAGCTAAAAGAGAATTAGCTGAATTGACACATAAGGTAAAAAAATTAGTGTGGAGTCATGAAATACATTACTTGCTAAATGTTCCTATTTCCTGACTTGTACCCAAATGTTTCTTGACAAACAGGATAGAATGATGGATTAAGCTGAAAATTTCAATGCTGTTTAATTCTGTCGGTACTTTAGATGAAACCAAAGCTCACACACTTATATGTCCTCATTTATAAAAGAGTAATTGTATCACTTACCAATGCACAAATGTTTTATTGAGTAAGCCTCTGAGATAAAGTGTTTTAAATATAAGATTGTTGAAAATACTAAGTGAAAATAAAGAATTATTTTTAATTCTTGAACATAGGACTTTCTCTTATTGGTAAGACTTTCTCAATTTAACTATAGTCATATATGTTCTTCAGTAAGTTGCTTGTACTGAGAAGAAGCTACCTAAATTTAGGTCTTCACAAAACTTCACTGATTTTAAGAGAGAATTTTACCTGATTTATAGTAGAATTCTTAGCTCCCCCAAAAAGATGATATAGTCTTTTTGAGCTTAGATCTAGAGTCTAACATATTTACAAAACTATAATTGCATATAGTCAATAAAGTCATATATTTAATAAAGGCAACTGACTTCTAACTCAATATAAGAAGGTACCTAAGGCTTTGAATAAAAATGGATGTGGAGCCCAGCAGGGTGGCTCATGCCTATAATCCTAGTTATTCAGGAGGTAGAGATACAGAGGATTGAAATTCAAGGCCAGTCTGGGCAGAACGTTTAAAAGACCCCATCTTAACCAATAAACTCTGGGTGTGGTGATGGTACCTGCCTTCCCAAGTATGCAGGAAGTGAAAATAGGAGGATCACAATCCAGGCCAGCACTGCATAAACCTATTCAAAAAATAAAGCAGGCTGGGTGATGGTGTCTCATGCCTATAATCCTAGCTACTTGGAAGGCTGAGAAAAGGAAGATTAAGAACAGCCCAGGCAAAAAAAAAAAAAAAAAAGTTTGTGAGCGCCCAACTCAAAGAAAAACTGTGGATGTGGTGACAGACACCCATCATCTAGGCTAAGGCAGAAAGTGTAAAATATAAGGATCACAATCCAGGCCAGCCTGGGCTTAAAGCAAGACACTAGCTCCAAAATAGCCAGAGTAAAAAGACTGAAGGCATGACTAATGCAATAGAGCTCTGACCTAGCTGGTGAGAAGCCCTGAGTTCAAAAAATCAAAATCAAGTGATATCCATTGACCACCAGGAAATATGAATACTTGAATTTCTGGGAGAATCCTTTTAAATAAAAAATATTGACAAATGCTTTAAAAATAAGCTTTGAGTAGGTAAACTTTCTTTACTATGACCCTCTACAAAGGGAGGTTGAAATGTCTCTCACAATAAATGAGCTTATCCTGAGATGACAGGGGTGCTGTAAGACAGAGACTGGATGTTGTAGAGTTCCTTATATTCCCCCTCTCTATAGTTCATAGGCAGGACTAGCAAATAAAGTACTTTGCTTCAACCTAATGAAAAGTGACTCACCTCTTTTTATATCTTATCTGTTTTTATTATGGATTTGTTTTTTCTTTAAAAATCACACTTTAACATCTAGTGAACTTGTATGCTTTTAAAAGTCTCTACCAAAAATGACAATTAACACATAATATTTTTTCTAATACCAGTGAAAAGCTCAAGCAATTACATGTAAGATGAAATTCTTTATTGCTACTGCTTAAAGTTTGAATCAATTTGTGAGTAATTTCATTCAATATTTTTAAAAATTAAAACCCCACAGAGATAGATTATCTACAGCCCTGTAAATTGGAGATTGTTATTCCATTTGCAGATTAAAAAAACTGAAGTTTGAGATTAAATGAATAACTTGCCTGAAGTGACATATTGGTGTGGAGGCAGAATTCAATAATAAGCTTGTCTGTTCCAAAGTCCTCACATATAACTGTTAAACTCAAATATTGATAATACAAGTAGAGGAAGGTTTGTTTTTCTTCCAGGAACCCACCTGATGCTATCTTAAACTCTCCGTTATTTATTGAGAGAAAATATACTTTTAAATGTGTAAGGGAGAAAAGAAAACTGTTTTCTTCATTGAACTCTGAAAAATAATAACTCATCATGGGAAATAGAAAATTTGCTTGTCTACACAACTCAAAATAAACAAAAACAGAGTCTAGTTAACAATAAACACATCTGAACTATACAAATTTCTCTCATCTTTAGAGGTTCCCAATCTTGTAGAAAAGAATTTTGCAGAGATCAAGGGATCCTCCTTCTCCTGTGACCACTGTGGCACAAGAAAAAATAAAACAACAGCAGCAATAACAATTAAAACACTTACTATACTGTTTTAATAAAAAGATTTTTTAATGCTCTTTTTTCACTGAGTCAATATTAATAGATACGTGACAGTTATTTCATGTGTTATTTCTTTAATTAAGATATAAGAGTTCTTACCACAGTTGGATGTACTTTGGAAGTAAACACCAATAATGAACAGATAAAATGACTCAATAATTGATTGGTAAATAACATGTAACTATGGAATAATTATATGCCCTGTGAATTATATAGTACTTATAGTTGACATTATTTAGGAAACCTAACAAATGAACTTGTAATTTGTACTTACCAGATGTCAAGTCCAAACAACCACTTAAGTATCCTGTTATTATATAAAAGTATCTTATCATTAGATACCTGGTCAGTAATAATCATGCAATTTGTTGCACATATCATACTCCAAAGCAAAATACAATTATAATATCATTGGGATATCAAGAAACAATTATCAATGTAAGACATTTAGGAAGAAAAAAAAGAAAAATGCTTTTAAATATAGAGTATAATTAATGCATGCAATTATCCAATAAGTGTTCTCACAGTTACATGAAGAAGGAACTTGACTGGCTTCTTCTCATTGTTCAGGTCTTTCTCAACTTCGGTGTCAGCTGCTTAACATAATTTTTCTTGACTTTTTTTTCTAAAGTGATCTCTATTGTAACACATACCCCCAAATACTGTCAAACTGTGCAGTTCAATCATCATTATACTTTTCATTCTCTATGTCTTTCCAGTAGACAGCAGACCTTGTTTCTTTTCATTAGAGAAGATTCTTACTCTATAAAATAATTGTCTTTCTATCAGAATAGTGATGTCCCTGTTCAACACTGTGATTCTGGTGTGTGGTACTTGGCAGGCACCCATACAAAGCCTTAGAACATAGGTTGGTGAAGGAATGCACTACTGAGCATACTTCATATGTGAGGCACCTGTTTGGAGTTTCAAGCAAGTCAGATTCTTTGTCCTCTTGGTCTTATATGACAAAATTCTGAGTTAATGTGACATATAGTTTTCAAAGTATTTTCCAAAACAGGCTTAAAACTAACTATAATACTTAATTCAAACATATAGCTATTCTCAATGCTACCATTTTGTTTTAATCAGTTTATACCAACTCTGTCTCACATGAACGTGCTTTGAACTGCTTACCATCTGTTTATGACCATGCACCTTTATTTCCACAGACAACCACATTAATTGGTCTATTGAAGACTGCTCGACTCCTTCGTCTTGTGCGAGTGGCCAGGAAACTGGACCGATACTCAGAATATGGTGCTGCCGTTCTAATGCTCTTAATGTGCATATTTGCCCTGATTGCTCACTGGCTGGCTTGCATTTGGTATGCAATTGGGAATGTAGAAAGGCCGTATCTGACTGACAAAATTGGATGGTTGGATTCCTTAGGACAACAAATTGGGAAACGTTACAATGACAGTGACTCAAGTTCTGGACCATCCATTAAAGACAAATACGTCACAGCACTTTATTTTACCTTCAGCAGTTTAACCAGTGTAGGATTTGGAAATGTGTCTCCTAACACCAATTCGGAGAAAATCTTTTCAATTTGTGTCATGTTGATTGGCTGTAAGTAGATTTCTCTTTTGCTATCTGTTAGGATGAAATAATATCACAAAATTGATACCTCTAGAACATTGAGGATAAAGCAAAGAAAAATTATAGAAAATTGTGGAGGTAATGGGATTACATATGTAGGCACTGTATTCTATCAAATTTTGATTCTTTCTGTGAAGACACAGAATGGCCTTTCGGGACCTCAGGAATAATATGGGTCTTCACATTCAGGAACCGAAGCTTTCAGTTCTCTTGTTGCTATGTAAAAGATGCTTGGAATTTATTGCTAATTAGGTATTTTATATTTCAAGCTGAGGTCACGCTACAGTGAGAAATATTATATTATATACTCAAGACTTAGATGAACAGACAGAATCATGCGTGCCTCAGCTGCTTTATATGTGTCCTCGTTAAAATTATGATGTAAGCTACTCTTTCGTACATATGGCTGCATTCTATATACACAACACACACATATACATATTTCCCCTTGTTATTAAATATAAATTTCATTTTCACTGGCATTATTTCAAGACCTAAGTGATTGGTTTTCACCCTGCAGTGGATTGACATCATGAGCATAATTTATTACACGTAGTTTTGGAATGAATAACTGTATTAGGATGATCATTTAATGTTAATTTTTTAATATTAGTCTGTGAAGCTGCTCAAGGTAACCTTGATGAAGATGTCAGGTAGCATCTGGCAAAAGCATGATCAATTTTTACAGCTTCCAAGTGAATATCATCCTCAGATTGCATAAAAAATTGGATACAGATCCTGATAATTGATTTTTAAATGTCACCATTTTGACTACTGAAATGTGCTTTGATAAAGCCTACTTGTGAAACCTAAATAGATTCATCTAATTTATTACTACCTATATAATTCAGTTTATTATTACTTTATATAAATGTACTTTTCATATATATGTATATGTTTTAGTATTTTTATTTTAATAACATTTTCATAAGAAAACAACATAATTTAAATATCCTTAAGATATTCTACAAATTCAATCTCCGTCTTGGCTATAAACACAGAAATAGTCTTATACCCAGGGAAATGAAAGTGTAAAATACTAGAAAAAATAGGAATACACAGTTATACAGGCTGGATCTCTCTGAGCAAAAATGGCCCAGCCATTTTGTGATTATAACTACTGGATATATTTTACAGTGACAAAGAAAACATGGTTGTTTTTGATTAAATTTTCATATAGAAAAAAAATATATACTTTTTAAAGAGTTTTCTTTATACATTGTAATAGTCAAGAAAGATTTAAAGATATGCTGAAGTTTAGCCAGTGAACCACTAGTAACACTCATTACTGTAAGGATGAAGTGAAATTCATGATAATATTTATTATGTGAATTTTGAACTGGGATTTGAACTTAGAGCCTTGGGGTTCAGTCCTATACCAATTGAGCCATTCCCCAGCCCTTTTTGCTTTAGTTAGTTTTCAGATAAGTTCTCACTTCCACATACCTGGGATTATAGCTGTTACCACCACATTTGGCTTATTCTTTGAGATAAAGTCTCACTAACTTTTTCTTTTCTTTCTTCCTTTCTTCTTTTCTTTCTTCTTTTCTTCTTTTCTTTCTTTTTTCTTCCTTCCTTCTTTCCTTCATTCTTTCTTTCTTTTTTCCCTTTCTCCCTTTCTTTACCCTTTATTTCCTTCTTCCTTCCTATCTTCTTGTTTTTATTAATATTGCATTAGATTATTTCTGTTAATCCTTTCAAAAAGAATCTGTGTTTACTTTTCTTTCAAGAAAATAAAAAACACTTTGGTCAAATTGGGTACATTAAAATAAACTCTAGTTCCATATGACACCATTTATTTGATAATACACTTGGTTCTATAAACTTTAATCAAAATGGAATTGAATAAAGCATAATGTCACAGAGGAAAAAGCTCGTAAGTATTCCTGGAGAAATCTACCATGATTTATTATGCCATAAATAAAGTAAAAAGGTAAAACTAAGACTTGAAACTCAAAAATAATAGGAATGGCCCTGAAATTTTCTTAATCATTTTGAGTACATGGATATACTTACACCTGGCATTTCCAGTAAGATCTAACTGTATTTAAAAAATGGTTTGATTCTGATTGTTGCAGTTATACATTAACAACATACTTAACAGATCTTTAAGGACCCTAATTTTGACCTAAAATTAAAATACAACAACCAAAATTTTCATGTAAAATACTGTATCTGCCCTGATTAGCATAGCTATAGAGATTATCAGGCTGAACCCTCATAATCTTTGGACTTCTTTAAATTTCTTCTTTATTCTAAAAGAAAATTTTCAAGCCAAGTTACAGAAAAAGAAAATTGACCTTGCATATTACAGCAATATAAATCAGGAAAACTAAAAATAAAATATTAAAATGATAATCTAAAACTGGGCATGGTGGCACACTCCTAAAATCGCTCTCCTGTACTAGGGAGTCTGAGGCAAAAAAATTGAAAGTTCAAGGCCAGCCTGGCCTACATAGCAAATTACAGGCCAACTTGGGATAGCTACCATCTCATTAATGCAAATAACTCAAATAGCTATAGACACATTTTAAAAAGCTGTAATTTAAGTCATACAGCCAATTTTATACAAAGAACAGTGCCCGAAGAACTCATTTTAAAAGTGTTTATAATTCAAAATAAAGTGCGAAGAAAAACTTATGCAATCGTTAAATAAGTATAAATATAAATTATATTCATATATTTATGTCTATATTTTATAGCATAATTTTGTCTTTATTCAAATACTAGAAATATAGTGTATGTATTTAATTTTAAAAAATAACATAACAAAAGTAAGAGCAAATACCTTCCATCTTTGACCTTGACAACCAAGTTGGGCAAATTTCTTGGTTTTATAGAATATATGAGACAGTTACTGCCATTCCTTTTAGCTATGATGGAGTAACTGGAACCTTACCCTATTAAACAAACACAAAACAGAAAAAGCAAAGAAAACTGAACACAATGTATAAGATCCTCATTTTCAGACATTGGTAAAGAAGCAGGAAAATGTGATTTTAAGAAAACGAAAAGAAATAAGATGCTCCGTATTAGCCTTGGCTTCCTGCCTGGTGGCACGTTCTGCCTAACAGTTAACAGTAAAGGGAAAAATAATCTAAGCAGACCACACCAGTCTCACTGAATTAAGAAAATAAGACCAATGCAATGGAGTTTAAGGTCTTGGAATTTGCAATAAAATTAAGAATAGGTAGCCATGGCAAAGAAAAGCTCCAGAAAACTTTGTAGATATTCACTTGAGTCTACTGATAAATACCAAGGCACAAATACATGGGATGAAAGTTCTTAAACTTGGCAAAGAAAGTACTGTAAGCTGAACAATTTTCAGAGCTCACACAGTTGTGGGACATACTCAAATTCAAACCAACAGGATGGAAACTTCTCATTGAATATTCAGGGTTCAATAGAAATCTCAGAAAAATAAAGCCATAGTACTAGGACCAATCTAGCCATAACAGTGCTTTGAAAGCAAGCCTCAAAAAGTACAGCCTGATCTTCAAATGGCCTAACTGCAGGAATAATATCTGATAGGCTAAGGTATTTTGAACAAGACTTCAAAAGAAAAGGAAACAAAAGCCAAAATAGACAAATTGGATTACATCAAACTAAAACTCTTCTGCATGGCAAAGGAAAGAATGAACAGAGTTAAGATGCAGCCTAATATTGGGAGAAGATATTTACAAATTAAAACATTTGACAAGGGTTTAATATTCAGAGTATATAAGGAACTCAAAAAATAAAACTGAAAAATAATAATCCAATTAAAATCAGCAATAGACTTAGACTTTTCTCAAAAGAAAGATACGAATGGTCCAACAACTATATGAAAAAATGCTCAACCTTACTAATCATCAGGGAAATTCAAATTAAAGCCACAATGAGATGCTATATTACTCTAGTAAGAATGCCTTTTATCAAAAAGATGATACATAAAAGTGCTGATGAGAATATGTAGAAAAGAGAATCTTTGTACATGATTGATGGGAATATGACTGCAAGAATTATGAAAAATAATATAGAAAAATTAAAATAGAACTATCATATGATCCAACAACCTGACCACTGTGAATATATCCAAAGGAAATGACATCACCCAATCAAAAACATGTTCCACCCATGTACAAGGATTCACTACCTTATACTAAACAAACATCAGCCTCAAATGAATATGTACATTATGGTTGTATTTAAATGAAACCCTAGAAAATGCAAACTAAATCTGTACTAACATAAAGGAGCTGAGTTGTTGTCTAAGGTCTGAAGTGAGTGGCACAGACAAATAAAGGACACAAGGGAATCTTTTGTGGTGATGGAAATAGTCTATGTCTTGTTTGTGTATACAAGGATGTACATATTCATCACAATCAATTAAGCTACACACTTAAATGTATGTTATAAATTCTTCATCAATAAATTTATACTTTGAGCTATAATTTTGAAATACATATGCATATAGCAGATAGAAAAGCAAAGCATAGCTTTTCTATCAGCATATTTTAACTAATTTCCAATGACCAACTAAGTTTATTAGCTAGGATATCATTTTCAGAATTTGGGTATGGTGTGCTGAGGAAGTTTCAAAATGTACCTATTCTATTTCTATAATACTTAAACCTAAAGTAAACCATTTTTGATGAAGTAAAAACTGTCTACTAAGGAAAGCTAAATGAAATATTGAGTTGAAGAGAGAAATGCCCATATTTAAAGAATCTGCCAACTTGCTTTTGCCTGACATTTTATGCCAATTCGTGGGCATCCACAAATCAGTGATACAGAATGTATTAATCCTGTTCTCTCTAGCTTCTAACTTTTTGCTCTACTTGCTTCCTAAAATAATGGGGAAAAAAAAGACAAAACCTCATGTCTTCATTATAACTTTAAAATTAATCAAAATAGAATTTCCTTAGAGATATTTTCAATTTTTCATTTCGGTACACAACTACATAGTTACAATCTAGACTTTCCACTTTGACAGTGAGTAGAAAGTACCTATTTATGGCTTAAACTAGCATGTTATTCATTCTGATGGCAATATAGAGAGAAAACCATAGTAGTTTCTAAAAACTAAAGTAGAATTTTTTCTGACCTTTCTCCTTCACATTGTTATGTGCTTTAGGCAAAATAACTAGCATTGATTATGCATTCTCTGAATCTATTTCCTGAATACATAAAAGGTACTTTGGAAATATAACAGCATACATAAATATTTCCAACACTACACTTAGGATGAGTAAAATGTATTTCTCACATGAGTCACAGAAATCAGTTTTTGGCAAATATTATTCTCTTCCTAATAAAGTATTAATATTTTCAAAATAGAAACAATTTAGGCCTGCTACTTCCTCCTGTGGAAGATACAACCTACACAGCTGATCTGCATTACTGAAAATTAATGTCTCCTTCACAAGCCAACTCAGCCTCACCATAGATCTGTATTTGTCTGGAATTACAGAGAAGCATGATAGATAGGTAATGATAATGGATGGGCAGATATATTATTCAGATAAATGATAAATGATACATAGATACACAGATAGATATATAGAGATGCATACATACATAGTATTATTATAAGGAATTAACCTACATAATTATTGCAGATAAATGAGAATTTCAGTTTGACTCTGAGTCCAAGTGCAATGGCAAGAGAAGACCAATGTCCCAGCTCAAACAGTCAGGCACAGAGAGTGAATGCTCCCTTATTCTGTCTTTTTATCCTATTTAGGCCTTCAATGGATTGGATAACGGCCCCCCACAATGGGAAGTTCAATCTGCTTTACTTTACTCTTGACTCAGATATTAAAATCAACCAGAAACATCCTCACAGACCAATCCAGAGTAATACTTAACCAAATTTATCTAAGCTCTCTGTGGTTCAATCAAGCTGATCTATTCCTGGAATGTGGGGTTGGGAGATAAAGGATGATGGAGAGGGCGAATTCAACTATGATATATTGTAAGAACTTTTTGTAAATGTCACAATGTACCCCCAGTACAACAATAATAAAAATAAAATAAAAAGATAAAAACAAAGACCACTTCTTTCCCAGAGCCATTTTCTTACTCAGGGCATCTATAACAAAGACTCGATAATCAAGCATGATAAGATGTGCAGACATAAGCTAGAAAAGGAAGCAAATGACCAAGAAATCATGCTAGTTTAACAGAGCCTAAACCTATTTTTCAAGTGACCAAGTGGTTTATAGAGGCGATTTTTTGTAAAATGTGTTTTAGGGAAAAAAAAGAAAAACTTGTTGGTTGAACACAGTTAAATCAAATAATTCAAACTGTTTTCTTGTTGATTATTTTTCCCACCTGTTTAGTATCCTGCTTTTCCAGGGTCTTACACATATATTACCTACTCTTAAGTTCCCTACAGATGCCCAAAGAGCCATGTACAGGCCACATATCATATGATTTCTGCACAGATTAGAGCATTTCTTTGTTAAAATTATTAGGAACTGAATATAAACACAAAAAGGGCATGAAGAACATATTTTAAGTAAAAAGGTTTATCCTACAAAGCACTGAGGATATCCCACCTAAGCAATGAATACATAGCAAGGGATATTGCAGCAGTTTCTATTTTTAGACAAAAGAAACATATTTTTATTCATAAAAATAAAACTATATATATTTTCTAAAGCAAAGATATATTTGTTACACAAACAACTATGAAAGTGAATTGGAATAAATTAATTGACTATAAATTAACACTCTAGGATAATATATTTAGATTCCTTAAAATAGTTGGTTGTCCCTTAGAAAATCCAAAATGTTAAAAATAAGATTAAAATTGATAATAGATCTTTATTACAAGGTTAGATTTAAAGCTAAGAGGCAGAGATAAGTCACAATTAAAAAATAAGTATTTTAACTCCAATTAAAAAGTAGCTTTAAAAACCCCAAAAGATGTTTTTGCCTCCCAAATTTTTTTCAAGAAAAGGTGTTTATGGTGACCCAAGACATGCCTTATTTCAAATAAGATGGTTTATTCCAAATAGATTTAATGTCTATTCAATATTCCTCATTACAAACTGATATTATGAACAGTTTTTATTTTAACTTAGAATCCATGATAAGTGTGAATACTTTTCCTGTCTTTACAACTAAAACTGTAAAATATAAAGTTCTACACATTTAACTTTTTTCCCCTCTACCTATAGCCAGTGGCACAATTGGACTTTCAAATACGAAAATCTGCATATTTGATATTTGCCCTAGTGCAATGTTCCCCCATAACTTTGTTTTTTATCCAATCCAGCCCTAATGTATGCAAGCATTTTTGGGAATGTTTCTGCAATTATCCAAAGACTATACTCGGGAACTGCCAGGTACCACATGCAGATGCTGCGAGTTAAAGAATTCATTCGCTTCCACCAAATCCCCAACCCTCTGAGGCAACGGCTTGAAGAATATTTTCAGCACGCATGGACTTACACCAATGGCATTGACATGAACATGGTATGTATTTCTGTTTCCCAAAACAGAAGCACCACGAGCACTGTAGCTCTAACCAAAATGAAAAAAACCAGTCTCACCAGCTTTGAACACTTGCTTTTGTTTTCTTCTCTTGGATGTTTATTTTCTCCCCTGGAGATAGTGTCTCATTCTCAATTCATGGCATGGCATGGTGCTATATCTAGTTATACTGTGTGGCAAAGGCATTATAACATGATGCAAACTGATATAGCTGTGTGTAGTAGAGTTCCCACATTTGATCAGAGAAAGCATTGATTTAGCCAGGACTTGGGCTTTCACTGCAGGACCTAGATGCCTGCACCCAAAAAAGTAGATGGACCCATGTTTAGTTAAAATTTGGCAAGTGAACTATGACAACTATTAAGTCCTCAAACAGAGATCCAAGATGAATACATTTTTTAGAAAAATAAGACATTTTGAAAATTGATAGGAGATGTTAGGGAACTTAAATATCGCATAAGAATTTTCTGGTAGGAAGTTTCATGCTTCTTTTTAACATTTTTCCATATTTTAAACAAATAACTATGTGCCCTTTTAATGTACTTGGTTTAATGAATCTTTCCTTTCAAGGGAGGAATATGGATTCCTTTATACCTTTTAAGCAAGTTCAACAGCAAAAATGACTTGTAATGACCACACCTCCTGTATCACTCTCAAAACTCAATACAGATAGCATTAATGTACTCCAAAGGGCTCTCTTTATTATAGGAGCATTGCCCACATTATTTACTTTGCTGTTTGGCTATAGAGACAGATTACTACAGAAATTATGCAATAAATCCAAATTCTATGACATATCATATAGCTACAGAAAAACAAAATTAAGACTAGTCCTCAACTTGGTAAGAACCCTGTGTCTAAGAATTTCTTAAAGTCAAAATCATTCACATTTCATTACATCAATTGCATAATGCAATTTTTTGTGTAAGTGTACCTGTTCAATTCAAATTAATAATTTTGGTTTTACCAGAAATAGTCTTCCTAAAAAAAAAAATTCAAAATTAGCAGTAATGGTGCAAGACGCATTGCAAATATTGCCCGGCCTAAAAGACATATTTATAGATGAATAAATTTATTATAGTTGTGTGTGATTCATTTGAGAGATAAGGAAAGACCATTATAAATATTTTTAATTTGAAGAGCTAATCAAATTAATGCTTAACAGACAAAACTATAGCTGGGAACTCCAATTCTTTCCAATTATCCTAAAGTTCATTGTGAAATGAATCATTCAATAAATTGGCCTCTCCAAGAGAACATTTTATTCTTATAAGAGCACCTATATATTGGTCACTTTTATATACTTTCATCAGAATTATTGTTTAACAAAAGTACCAGCATTCAAAATCTATTAGGGACTCTCTACTGCAGGGGTGACTGAAGCAGTGTCAGGAAATTTTGGTCAAAATATGTATTGCTCAATTTTATCATTCCATACTGCCAGATTATTTCAATAACAATAGAAAACATCATTTATTTTATCTCCCTTCTCCATAAACTCTAGTTTTATGACCATTTTTTGTGATAAAGCCTATTTTGTAATAATTTACCTTTCATTGTTTAACTCTATTACCTATGAATATGGTTTATATACCACTTGCCTATTTACAATGTACTTATGAAAGATTTATCTCTTTCCTGTCTGCTTCACACCTTAATACATGGAATCACAACACCCACCGGTAAGAACAGGAGGTATTTATATCCAATTTAATTCTCGTGTAAATTGTGGAGAACACCCTTGTTTATCTGTCAGGTTTAGAGCTTGTTAAATGATTTCCAATGTTAGTTTTGACTTTTTGCATGATGTAGCAGAGGAAATACAAAGCAAGAAACTGGGGAAGATACTCTGGAAGAGGCCAAGTACAGAATAGAAATTCTTAATCTTAACAACAACTTGACCTCTAGTAATATTCATGTATAGCTTCACACTCCCAACAAAAAATTTACTTATCTGCCCTTATTCCCACTCTGATAAAGGTTATGGGTATACGGTTTGCATTAGATAATTGTCATGAGAAAATGTCATTCTCTTTCATCATTCTCTATTTTCACGATGTAGGTGCTTTTCTTTCCTCTCATCTGCATGCCAGTATTACATGATCCTGGAGTGTGTGAGCTCTAAACCATGTGCCGCTGAGTCTTGCATGTGGTTTTGAGAACTTGACTTTGCACGAACTTCTTGGTTGTACACAGTGTCTACATTTATCATTTTGTGGCTGCAAAGTGAGTAAAAAAATCAAAGTGCAAGATTATCTCCAAAAACTCAGCAAAAGGAAGATGCTTGTTTGTTAAGCATGATACACAAAACAAAGTTGATTAGAAAAAAGCAGCTGTACCCTTAGAACATTGAGAGGTTAAAAAAAAAAAGTGAAAAACGTCAAAGTGAACTTTTTTTACCTCCAAAACCACATTGTTAAAATCTTTGTGTCTTGTCAATTTATTGTTAATGAAATTATAATTTATTAACAGTTGAAAATGGATTAACTTTATGTATTGTGATACATAAAAGTACATCAAACTGTTGTATTTTGCATCAGCATTCCATGTTATTTCATTTAAGTATAACTTTCAATATAATTTCTCATGAAACATTTCAGGTCATTTTTACTGTTCAACCATGTCCAAATGAAGTACAAAGTCTCCAGTCACTATACTAATTTCCCTAAAATGATTTTCATGACTTAGAACTTTTGATTGCTTGGTAGACCACAAAAAATAGGAAAGAATTGACCTAAAAACAGGTGCCCTAAAGTTATTGCAAGGAATGTTCCAGATCCAAAACATTCTGGAAACAATTGTATACTCCCTATCAGTTGGACCAAAATGGTTCAGGGTACAAAAGAAAAAGGGATAGGGAATGAAGATGGTGAAAGGAATGTGTTCTTTAATATCTGATTTCAAATTTACGATTGTAAAAAATTATCTCAAAAATGTGCACAGGTTACTTCTTGAAAATCATTTTCTTTCTACTGCAGGAATTTGACAAGTTAGGAATGAGGAGATCTTTTCTCAGGTTAGAACTAATAGCATCTCAAGGAATTTTCTCAAATCAAACCATATTTTGACCCAGTCTGAAGCCCTCTAAGGTCACTGAAAATTGTTTTGGTTATAACACTACCAAGAAAATGAAAATCATCTTCCATGTCAGTATAGAATCAAGTGACCTCACATTACACTAGCATGAATGGAGAAGAGACCTGATGGTTTATATATCCTTCTGTGTAGAGGAAAGTAAACTATTTAGGTCAAAACTACTCTGATATTTAATACTATATTGGCATGGAAGAAAATTTGTTATGAACATATAATAGAAAATTTATTGCTTACTCCTAAGAACACTGCCTACATTCCCACCAAGTATGCCTGAATAATAGAAAAAAATATATAGGAGAAGATTGAGAAGACCCAAGCCCTAGCTTTCAATCTGCCACTAATCTTGGGCAAGTCACTTAACTTCTCTGAAGTTTTATTAAACTTGTCATTTTCAAATACTCATATATGCTAAATATGTATTCTAACCTATCTGCTGCCCGCCTCCTCCGCTCCCTGTGGTGAGCATCTGAGCCTCCCTTATGGAACGTCTGCTACTTCATGGTGTGTTATTCCAAAACTACTGGACTGAGTGGGTGGTAGAATTGCTGATGGCAAAGAACCAGAAGACCATTTCAGGTAAAGACAAGGACAAAAGCCGAGGCCCATATGTAGAATTACACAAAAACAACTTTGTTTATTTTAAGAAGAAAGGGGCATGTCTGAGTATTTTTTAAGCTGGTTCAATAATGGGGAAAATTTTGAGAGACAGATATAGGAAATAGCTGGATTAACAACCCAGGAAAAGGGATAGATTCTTCATCAGTGTGAATAGGTATATTTTCCTTAAAGATAGGTAGGGAAAAAGACAAGAAAGGTACAGGTGTTGGTGTTCAGGGTGAAGAGAGAAAACCTGACAGCATCTCATACATGGTCCAGGTTCCAAGGTCAAGCAGGGACTTGATTAGTGAATGAGAAAAGTGGCAGTATAGGATAGGAGTAGAACTAATGAGGGAGATGGTTTTTGGAGATTTCAATCAATAGTCAGACTAGCAGACTAAAAATACTTAGAATCACAGTAGTATTCTGAGTGTACAGCATGCTTTTGTAATGGAACTGATAAACAAAATCAAAATTGGAAAAAGTATAATAAATGATAGATTTTTTACTAGAAATCTTTATTTCTCAGAACTATTGTGATTCCAAAGCATTTTAATGAAAATTTGATTTCCTTTACTTTCACAACTCTTTTCTAGTGTCTATTATCCATCACAGTAGTCTTTGTAACACCAACCTCATCTCTGCATCTGTGATCTAACTGCACACCATTGAACACTGTAATACCCATTCTATATATCTATTTAAATAATTTTTTTGCGCTAGACCCTCATATTTGGATTGCAGTGTTTAGGTCACAGAGTCCATAGTGAAATGTGATGGCTTTTGCAGTTAAGTTTGATTCAGCAACTCAGGTTAAAACAATTCTCTTAACAATAATCCCCATCACTAACTAGTACTAAGGAAAATTTTATAAAATAGCATAACTTGCCTTCAACACAAAGGGCCTTGCTTTCAAGGGACTTTTAATACCCTGTACTTTTTTCTAAAGATACTTTATATACTAGGTTTATAAATATATTCAATGGAAAAACTTTACTGATCACTGCACAATGGCGGTATAATAAAATTACTAAAAAGGGTGCCCTCATATCTGACTAGTCTACCACACATTTAAAAAGGGGCATGGAGATTGGAAAAAAACATGCATTTAAATGAAAATGGACCAAAAAACTGGTGATAACCTTTGGCTTTCTGTAACTAAACACCTAGACACCATTTAGGAGATGACTTTTAAAAATAATTTTTATATGATACACTTGAAAAGATATTTTCATCTGCATGTTGAATAGTAGACAGGGATTGCTTGGCTCTACAAAATTTGGTAGATAGTAAAGTTTTGCACTGGTAATAAACCTGTGTACTATTAACACACAAGGTTTTCCCTCTTGACCACCTACTGTAGCCAGACCTTGAACAAAAGTTCCTTAATATAGGACAAAGTTCATCTGTCCTTCCATTTTACATCAAGGCTACTTACTCTAAACTTATTAAAAATATCACCAGGGTCAATAAATACCATCTGGTTCTATCTGGCATAACAGTGTCGAGCTTAAGATAGGCATGTGATGCTTTCAGGTTACAAATGGTTCCTGCTCATCTTTCTCAAGTGACAAAAGTCTTTCCACCCTGGTCTCCAAACACCATACAGAAGAACTTACATACAGCTGGCATCATGCTACTCCCCTGCAAAGTGAGTTCTTCAATGAGGAGATTTGAATTTTCCCAGTTCTGAGTCAAGAGAAAAAAGAATAGCATGGCCCAAGGCATTACATAGGATCAATACCCAGTGCAGAAACACTACTGAGGCAGTAAACACACTCTGA